TGTCATCACTGGCTTCAGCCACTCAGACCCCAACACCACTTAACAAACTGTATCAACAAAGGGCTTAAAACCATATAATGTTGAAACACCAGTTCTTGAACAATCACCAAAGTTAAGCAACAATGAGCCTAGATGGGTGACTGCTTGGGAATACTAGAATCTGTAAGATTGGATGTGCAGGTGATGATAACACAGAATTGTTAATCAGAAAGTCAAGTTCTAATTTCAATCAGGTTTGTTATCTTACATGCAAATACCCTTGGGAAAAGGATGAATCCACCTCTTCTCCCCCAGCTAGGGGTTAATTAGCAAAACTTGTATCACTAAACCATTATTATCTCCCCAAAAATTCTTACAATCTAAAAAAATATTTTCCAGCTTTAAATAAGCATCAAAGGGTTGATAATCTGTAAAAATCGAATCAATCAATCAATCAATCAATGTATCAATGAAAGACAATTTCTTTTGCTGATAAATTTTATTATATGAGAGGGACAGACATGGTAGCAACAATTCTATGAAGTTGCATTAGGGAAAACATCAGAAGAATGCATACCCACTCATTGGCTTAGTATTTCACCACATGTGGCCTTAGCTAATCTATGGAATTGGGGTGTGGAAAGAGTCTCAACACTTCAAAATTCATGTGGCCCTCTGCCAACTTTGGTCTTATATATAAAACTTAGATGAAAACAATCTATAACTGTCAGAATTCCATGCCTGAGATATTCTGACTAATTACTCACCATCCTGACCCAGTCTTTGCATTCTGTAACACTTTGCAATCTACAATAAAGATACAGATCAACCATGACCTCTTCAGTAAATAAAAAGAAGCAAAAACCATGAAATCATACTCAAGTTCACAAACAAAAAATACCTTCAGGCAATATGAAAGTAGGCCTATTTAATAAATCTTTTGAAGACAGTGATTAAATGATGACTCTTAATGACTGGATAATCATGTGGATAATCACCTTTAAATCTTTGAAATGAGTTTGTATCAGTGCTCCTTGCTAATGACCAAATAAATACTAAAAAAACTGCTATTATTTGCAAAAATATAAACCATAATAAATATTTCTTATATTTACACAGTGGCTTTTACAAAGGAAATTTACTGAGGTTTATAAATATTGGGGGATAGCCCAAGATGTGAACTATGAACTGGAGATATCAAAATCAAACATGTACAGAAAATGAACTATCTGCAAACTTTAACAATTAGATGATGGAAAGCGTGACAGAGAAATCCAAAGGTACTATATAGTAACAAAAGATGTAAAGCCAAAGTATTAAGAAAATGGAATGTATTTTGTGAGAAGCAAAGGAAACAGTGATAAAATGTTATGTAATATCAATTCTCCTATACAGCAGTGAATACTGGACAATTTCCTCAGATATGAAAAAGTGCCATCCAGAGACTAAACAGTGTATGAAGAGATAGGAAAATGTCATTAGAAATAAAAGAAAGATTGCTGAAGTTCTATCTAATATCAATCCTCCTATATTGCAGTGAATGTTTGACTGATTCCTCAGAGATGAAAAAGAGTTATCCACTGTCAACCACAGTGTCCACTTTTATATTTTATATTTACTTAAGCTCTATCCCTGATATTGAGCACTTTTAACCATAAATATAGTATACCTTAAAACTATATTTTTATCATTCATATATATATATATATATATATATATATATATATATATATATATATATATCATTTTATTGCTTAAATATTATTTTTAGTGGATACTCATATCTGAGTAGATGCTTTGTTTATTTATTAAACAATATATTCATTTCTGTTGACTGGTGTGAATGTTCAAGAAATCTTATTATAAAAATGTGTGTTTTCTGGCAGGATTTGAACCTAAATTCCTCTAGGTGTAACTGTCATTAAACTTGACTTGCTTTAACCTTTTGGCTACAAAGAACCTACTGGCTAAAAAAAGCTCAAATAGTGCTTTTGAACATGGACCTTCCCAATTTTTGAAATATACAGCACTGCTCAGTTTTGTATCCTAACAAAGATCATTTTTAGGAATGAATTTTTCATTTATTAAATTAATCCAATATATTTTTATCCAATAAAACTATTGTTTAAACAATAAAATAGAAATGTAAAATTTTTCACAACATCGCCCACATGACGGATATTTAAACGGAACGCTGATCTTATATAAAAATTCCAGTTATCTGTTTGGATTAGTTGTGCTCTTATGTCCATCGTCTTTTTCATGTTGAATTTTATATGTTCTAATGTTAATTATGTTTTATGAATATGTCCTGATGATGGTATAAAATAGACCTAAACGTCCGACGTTGACTTTATATTAACATTAATACAGCATAATTGCATATTAAGATTTTTTTTTTTCTGTATATTTTCCTTCATATATATATATATATATATATATATATATATATATATATATATATTGAGACATGTTTCATTGAATAATTTAGACATGTTCTGTCTACTTATTTTTAATTGGATCCTTTCATATTCATGGATAAGCTTTTTTTGATGTCGTTATTGAAGGGCAAAAGAAAATTGCTGTGTTGATATAGATTTCTTCTGTGTGCAGTGAGGAACGTGTTGTAGAAAACCAAAATCCTTTATAAATTTAAATGTCCTATGAGAGGTTGTATCTTGAGTGGTAAAAATAATATTTATGTTGGACACACTACAACAAAGATGTCTCAGCAGCTAAGATTATTTGAATAATATGTCCAACATTTCTAAACATTTACAACAACATACCTGTCCATGTAAGAAATTTAACTTTCAGATGAACACAACAATTTTGTCTTTGACTGTAATGAACACTACAATATTTGTCTTGTAATAAACAATACCCAGATGATGACATTGCAATATGATGAAAGTACTCGGAATAAAAGAAATATGTATCAACATGGCAATTTTCTCTCATCCTTCAATAATGACACCAAAAAGCGCATCAGTGAATATGAAAGGATCCAATTGAAAATAAGTAGACAGAACGTGTCTAAATTATTCAACGAAACATGTCTCAATGAAAACATGCTGCCAAGATATATACACACGCATATATATATATATATATATATATATATATATATATATATATAATTTATTATATATATATATAATAAATCAAGAAGAAAACCTTGAAGATCCATTTTGGTTATAATTTAAATATATCTGAAATGTATCTTTAAGGTTTTCTTCTTGATTTATTATTAATATAATGCTCTGTAGTTTAAATTGAGCTCTCTCTGGATTAATATGCTCCTTGGAATTATCCCTACCAGTCACAAATTGGTTTTTATATATATATATATATATATATATATATATATATATATATAGAGAGAGAGAGAGAGAGAGAGAGAGAGAGAGAGAGAGATAGAGATGATGTTAATGTTTTTGTTGGTTTTTAAATCAGTCCACTCTGAGTAGATCTCTATTTTATTTTCTATACTAGCTTATATATCACATTGTGCTATTATTGCTTTCATGATGATTGGTGTTATTATGTATCATCCTGGTCTTAGGTTTATTCTCAAGAACTGTAAGATTAGCTCACTCTCACTGTGTTTTCTTATTAGTAAATCTTTTCCTCTCCTAATCAAACTATTTAGTTGAAATTGTGGTCAGATGTTTTACAATGAATGAACTACAAATGCATTTAAAGTGTTGTTATATGACATATCTCTGCAGTTCTGATTTAATTTTTTAACTTTCTGGATGTTTTGCCAATGATCAACAAAATCATTTCTAGATATTTAAAAAAATACACAAAAACAATTGATTTTATGTTTCTGCAAGTTATAAAAAATTCATGTTGATGGGTGGGTGTGATCATCTTGTGAAGTTTTGGAATACAATGTATTGATAACGCGCACCACTTCGGCACTGCCACCTTTCCTCTCAGAGGGATATCTGTTTCCTCAATGTCAGACAATCTTAAGAGCCTTGACCCGTTTCTGAGCATTATCTTTCCCCTCGCGTCTCTTCTGCCGTTATTAACACGAGTTTTACCCTGACGAAACTGCCAACTTCGATCTCAAGTTGACTCAAGTTCGTTTCTCCTTTCCCACGCTTTCTAGCCCCTCTCAACTCTCTCTTCTCTCACACCTGCAATTAGAAGTGGGACATCCGGTTAAAACAGTTCTTCAACAGTAATATTTGTAAATTATATAATGTATGCTAACAGAACTATATATCATGTTCTGGGGAGGGAAATTAATTTGCAATGTTTAAACTTGAAAACAGAAATAGAATCTGGTTTATTTAAATCTGATGCAATTACAATTTTTCGATATCTCTTTCGTCTTTACTGTCATGAGAAACTAGTTTGCTACCTGTCGCTTTACTGACAGCAAGTTGATCAAATTTTTAGTCTAAATTATTTTCTCATTTAAAAGACTACACTTCTTCTTCTTCTTCTTCTTCTTCTTCCATGTGCCACCTCCTTTCAGGACAAAGGCGATTATGGCTCTTCACAACTTTCTATTTTGGGTGGCACTTGATCATTTTTCTCCCTTTGCTAAGAACCCCACCCCCCTATTCCACCATCCATTCACATGGGTTTAAGTTAAGTGACTACCCTTATCTCTTACCCTCAATATGCCCTGTAAGGATTAAGTTTTTCAATCCTTCCTTCCTTCCTCATTGTATGTCCAAAGAATTTCAACTGTTTTTTCCTGATTTGGGCGCGTGTTCTTTCTGTTGGCATTTTCTTTACGATTTCCTTGCTGCTTATTCGCTTCATCCATGGAGAAAAAATATATTCAGTTTAAATACAGGAGTCCAAAAATGACTTCAGAGGGCTGCAGATTTAGTTCTATAATCTTTTCCTGTTACCCAGGGGTACAGACCGAAAACAAAATTAGTCCTTGTGCCACAGACATCCATTTCAATGTCATTTTCATTCAAATACTGTGTATGTACGTTTACAAGTACGTATGCATATTTTAATTCAACATCAGACATAAGAATATTTTTACTTACAGCCACATCAACACTAAAACACCAGTTCCCATATGATCATTGAAGTTAAGCAATGTTGAGCTTGGTCAGTACTTTGATGGGTGACCGCTCAAGAATACCAGGTTTTTTAAACGTGAATGTACATGTGGTGGTGTAGTGGATAACAGTTCAGAATTGTTACTCAGAGAACCAAGTTTCAATTCTAATTGGGTTCATTATATTCACTTACATGCAAATACACTTGGCAAAAGTATGAATCAACCTTTTCTCCCCTCAGCTATGAGTTAATTGGTAAGACTAAATCATTATTATTTTTAAAAAATTCTTACAATCTAAAAATATTTTCTGGCTTTAAATAACCTGCAAAAGGTTGATAAGCCATAGAAAATGAATCAATCAATCTAAGAATAATTTGTAGAAATATTTTTTTAAAGTTTAATTTTACTACTGAATAATTTCCAAAAAGTCCAATAAAGTTTTATATAACAATCTTATTTTTCAGAATTTAAAAATTATTTTTTTTGTCTGCAACTTTATGATTTTACTGTTCAACCAGGGGGCAAGGTTTGTCCAGACTGAGTGGAAGAGGAATGTATTGTTCCAATGTCTGATTTCAGACTCAGTCAAATTATGTGTATGTGTTTGTGTGTGCGCTACATGTAAGCGACTCACACACAACGCAGACATAGGCATATACATAAAATGTGTGTGCATACAAAGTCGCACACAGACTGTGTGTGACAGACAAAAAAATCAGCTCTTCTTTTATAGTATAGATTATATGGCAAACTTGGACTTTTGTTCCTGTAAAAAAAATGGAGTGTGTTTTCCCTTGACACCACTATTATTTTAACTCCCTTCACTCTTTGGCAATGTTTATTCTTTTAAAAAGTGATGATTAAAACTGTAATAAAACCTAAACATATAAAAGTGAATTTATACATTTTCTTTGTTCTTGAGAACTGACAACAAAAATAATAAATACTATTTATTTATTATTTTTCTTATTGGAATGATTGGTAAAACATCAGTTAATTGCCAATTGATTTGATCTTTATAAAATTGTAAATAATAAGTATTTCCTTATAGTTGGTTCACATATTTTAATAATTTAGTAAATGTTTATAAATAAAAAATTGTTTTCATATTTATTTCTTTATAAATTGCTAAATGATAAATATTGCATTGCATTAGTTTTAATTGTATTAGTTTTTAGAATGTTGAAAATATAAAATTATTTTTGTAAATAAACAATCTAATAAATAAATTGTGTTTAATATTTTTGTTGAAAATTCTCAGAAACAAAAAAGTGTATAAATTCACTTTCATCCTTTGATTAAGTTTTATTACAGTTCTAATAAATGCCTCTAAAACAACAAACATAGCCGAGATGTGAAAGTAGTTAAAATAATAGCAGTGTCAATGGAAAAACCCTTGTTTTTTTTTCAGGCACAAAGGTTCAGGTTTGCCAATTATATTTCCTTCAATAAATCAAATCTATATATTGTTGTATATATATATATATTCGTTGATTTTTTTCTGATGGCCTTCGAATGATCTTGAAGAATAATCTTTCATAGCATTTTTTCTATTTTCTTCTTAATAACTCTGGTCATCCTGTGAAACTGTTGTTTAATGTTACTGAAAGTTTATTTCAGATTCATGCAAAAGAATTTACTACACAAAAAAAAAATTTTAAATTCTCAGTGTACCCCTTTCCTTTGTGTTTATGTGTAGTCGCATCAATGTAAACATATATTTAGTGCGATGAAATCATAAAGGATGAAACGTGTCACATAAAAACTTTTTTCCTTTTGTCATACATACATATATATATATATGCATGTATATATATATATATATATATATATATATATATATATATATATATATATATATATATATATATATATATATATATATATATATATATATATATATATATATATATATATATATATATATATATACAAGTATATGATTGGTATATACGGAATGGATTCCAATAACCAACAAATACTATTCTTAAAAGAGTGCTCAATACAAAGTAGAGCAGATATAATTCTTTATTTAAAAATTTATAACATAAATATGTTATAAAATCACTACAAAAATAGCCATTTTGTTTCAACACTCTCAGTGTCTTATCAAGTGATGATGTTGAATGTAAAATAAATGGTTTTAAAAGTTTCAATTAATTAACAATCCTTCACAAAGGGAAAATGTTACAAAAGCTAGATGGGCCAATCAAAATACAAGTATAGGAAAATTCAAAAGCTTCACAACGAAGTCATGTTATAATAGCTATTCAAATATTTAAAATATGGGTAGTATTAAAAAAGAATTTATTCTAATCAATAATTACTAGATTATATGATTATATTATATATATATATATATATATATATATATATATATATATATATATATATATAGAGAGAGAGAGAGAGAGAGAGAGAGAGAGAGAGAGAGAGAGAGAAAGACAGAGACAGAGATTTTATTATATACTTGAAAATTACAATCAATAAATCAGATTCAACTATCCTTGAGTAAAACCTGAACACGGCAATTTAATGTATTCAATGTCCTACCACTTACCCATTGTTAAGTAATGTCCATGAGATTGTAAATGCTGTGTATTGATATATTACCAGTAACAAGTATTACCATTTTAAATGTTTTTGAAAAACATATAAAGAAAATTTCTTAAGTGTAGACAACAGGTGTTTTTTTAATACAAACTTTAAAAAAAGATAAGAACATTGAAGTCAGAGAACTCTTTTTTTTTATTAGGATATTGATCCCATTTCTATTAAAAGCATCTGAGCTAACTCAGCCAAACATTGGCTTTAGTCTCATTTAAAATGGCAAGTTAAATATCATAAAACATTGCATTTTAAAATTATCATCAACAATGGTCCAGTTATACATACAATTCCTGTTTCAAAATAACCATTTGCTACTGATATATATACACTTCTATTATGGCTTTAGGGAAAACCTCTTTCATGATTTTATATACAAATAAATTGGGATGCAAAATATGAGAGACACGGTTCCTAAAAAATTCAAATTCCACCACTAGCAAGAGGGTACAATATATATATATATATATATATATACATAAAAGTTAATAATCAATACACATGTGAAAAAAATATGAATAAAAGTAAAAATAACATGTAGAGCTATTAACTTTAAAAATCAAGGTCAATTAAAATGCACAAGCTTGGTTTCGACCTGACAGTCACTTCGGATGATATTTTTAAAAATGACCACCTTAACGCTTTATTTCAAAAAACCACAAAGAATGATACATAATTATTTTTCAAGGTCGCATATTTTAATTGACCTCCTGATTTTGTGGATCCCGCGTGAAAAATAGGTATCCAATAAATGACAAACGCAAGTATTTAAGCTAAGAAATTAAATGTACACAAAATACAAAAGGTAATGCTGTTAGTAAAATCCAGGAACACGGTTAGTAGCAAATACAGATATTATGGAGGCCCATAAAGAGACAGAAAAAGCATTTTTAATAAATAATTAACTTCTTCTTAGACATTTTTGTATTTGTTAAAAACCGAACAATAAAAAAAATACTTCTTTTGATTTTGTTTTACATTTTTTGATATCTTAGTTTTACTAAATTTTATAAGTATTAAAAAAACAATTTATTATTGCAGAATAAAAACATAAAAAACACGATTTTTATTCTTTTATCATCTTTCAAGCATTTTCTTGCTCACTGGTTGTCCAAAAAAACTATTTTTTTTGCTACAAAAATGTATTTTGTTTTAAAGACACAAAGAAAACTTTTTTATTGTCTTCTTCTTACACTTACATATAATTTCATATTCTTTTTATTTATATCTGAATTTTTACACACACACAGAAAGAGAATAAAATAAAACTAATTTTAATCAGAAAAAAGATTAATATACCTAAATTTTGATCAAATGCTAACTCCGTTACTATGGTGACACTAAGTCGCCATTCTTCGACGGTTGCTATGGCGATAATAATAATAATAATATGGCGGTTTTTAATATATTCGCTTCTTTGCAGAGAGTTTGAAATTTGAAGGTATATACAGCTGACAAATCAGCGGAAAATAAAAGAGAAAATATATACAAGGTGAGACGAAATCCATCAAGCAGTTTAAAAAAAATATTATTTAAATCAGTTTTCTTGTTATACAGTGGTTCTAAAGTTTTTTTTAAGCTATTTTGCATTACTTTGATTATTTTTTTTGTTCTTTTTACTTTCGTTTTTTTGTTCATTCATTACGAACAGCTTATTTTTGAATGAAAAGGTGATCTATATTTTTTTTTAAATTGCCCCTTTTAAATAGACTCCCTATTTCTATTGGGGGGGGGATTTTACGTTATTTCATCGTAAAAGCAAATAGATAATCATGATAAATAACTAGAAAGACAAGCGTAGTTTTCATTAAAGCGAGAAAAACATTTCGAAAAAATGCTCGGAAAAGGAAAGTTATTATTAGCTTCTTTCACGTGGATATATGTAATGAACTTAAACAGAAAACTTTTTTCCCTGCTATATAGTGTTGTCATTTCTCTTATTTTATTTTTTTTTTTCAATAAGAAAAAACAAAAACAAAAAAATATGTTTAAAATTTCAGATTTGTTTTTTACGAGCCACTTTTAGGGTTACCTGACCATGTTTCTTCCTGTAGTAAGTCACAAAAAGTGTAATTCGTGTAGTAATTGATGAATAACAACTAAAACTTGAAGCTTTTTTAGTGCTGAAAAACGTTTTTATTTTATATTGTGATGAATGGTTACAATTGAAAGATTACACTTAGGATGTGCTTAGCTTAGCTTATTCTATTTCTACACTCTCCAATTTGATTTTTTTTGTCTCGATGTGGTACAAGAAGAAGAAGGGTCAATTTCTGTGATAAGATGATAAGAAGCTATATTTTCTTTTTAGCTTTTATTATCCCTGTGTGTTGGGTCAGGAAAACACTTTTTAGAACTAAACTTAGTAATAATTTAAAAGAGACAACAAAAAAAACTGTCCCTGTGTCAAACTTGGAAATTATTTAAAACCTGCGGAGTGCGGACGAAAGCAATTCTTCATGGATCGATTTTTATTTAT